TGCAGTCGGCATCATAGTGTGTGTTTTGTGAGATGGAGGAGGACTTTGTGGATTGGTGTTGGACATATGGGTTAATGTTGGACTTGTGGGCTTTGGCAGCACTGGGCTGGGATGTTTTCTAGGTATGCACTTAACCTTTATATAAAACTCTCTTATGCATATGAATTTCTGTGGATTTGTTTCTCTAAAGTACCCAGACTAGCACACCTGGAAAGATCATATCTGTATCTTTACATATCCCTAAACGGGGCATTACCATCGGACCCTCCTTTTATTTTTACTATCCCCTTATTTTCATTTTCTTAGTGCAGTCTGCAAAACACTGCAGAGTTACAATCTCAGAAACTCCCAGTGGCAGTTCTAGTCCCTTGTCCTCTCGGGTCCCTGTGAGTCAGCATGGACACCATGGCCGTGCGTTTGAGTTTGAGTTGAGTAGGGTAGTCTCTCTGAGTCCGAATGGACTTGATGGCAGGGGGTTTGGGCTTAGTGAGTTGGTCCTTGTTTTAGATGGTGTATCCTTTCTTCCAATCTCATCTCATTTCCATCTAGTATGTCATATTTCTCTGCCTTCTCTCCACTCCTGATGTTTGCCTTTTGAAGAGGTGGGGGAAACTTCCTCTCTTTTCCTGGTCTTTCTCCATATGAAGGAAGGAAAGAAACACAAATTCTCATCTCAGGCTTCCACACAACAGAGGCAGAAATAACATGCGCTCATCTTCTTCTTTCTTTCCTTTTCCCTCTTGTGCCTCTTTCCCCCTGGATGAGAAGTTCTGTGATGATTTCTGGTCATCTGTAGTGGGAAGGAAGAGGCTGTTCTACTCTGTTCAACACAGATGTCCCTCCTGTGGCACATCCTGCCAGCCCCATGACACTCCTTTAATGGTTTGGCCTGCTAGCACTGTGACTGTTCCTGAACATCCAGCATCTCCTTAGCTTCAGCACCTGCTTCACTTACTACTACCTTGAGGATGAGGCCTTAGAACTGCCAGCTTGCAACAACAAAGAAAACACGAACCCCCAGCACACTGTACATTATAACAAAACTTTATTGGGATCAAATGAGGTTAGAACACTTCATGCTTCATCACCATTATTTACCTTGAGTGACTAGATTATGCATAGCTGAGTATAAAATCATTTACATCTCTGGAGCCTACAGATTTGGAAAGCAAGATCAATGCGTATAACTGAGTGTCTGGCCCCACAGCGGTCATTGTTTAAAGCCTAGCGAGTAGGCAGCAAAGCTTCAGGCTGAAGAAGGTGTCATTCCTTATTCCCTCAAAAGTAGCCTCATCATGGCCCAGGCACATAAGACTGGAGCCTACTTTTTGGAGTCTAATATTATAACATTCTTTTTTTTTAAAGAGAAGCCAGGCTTGAGGTATATTTGTGGTTTAAAAGGCACAGGTCATGAAGCTGAATAGAAAGCTATTGTGCTGGTCCCTTATGTCCAGGTGTATCAACCTCCTAAGATTGTCCAGATGCCCCAACACTGATCCCTCATTGCGGTTTCTGCAGTAGTAGTTCTTCCTCCCCATTCCCTTTCTCCCCCACCCCCATCCCTGTGCTCACTGCTGTGAATGCGGAAGCCACTGACATGAAGCTGGCCAAGCCTGCGCACAGTCCCCAGCCATGTGTTGCAGAACCTCCTGACTCAGAATATAGACAGGACCCAACTTCAGAACCAAGAATGGACCCCAATGCAAGCAAGGACAGGGAGAATCACTCTTCAGGGTTAGCATAGCACAGAGAACCCAAATCTGCTTTAACTGCACCACTAACCCCTTCAGGAAGTGGGGACAGCTGCTTGTAAGGGATGCCAACAAGAATAGGGGTCACCCCCCAAACTTGTTAGGTATCAACACTGTTTGAGCCCTTATCTAGATTTCCAAAAGAGTCTAGAGGTCATTTAGAATAATTAGTGCTGTGGGTGGGGCAGAAGGGTTGTAACCCAAGAACCCACCACTAAAGAGTTGTTTCTGATTCATAGTATCCCTATAGGGCAGATTAGGATTGCTCATTGCTGTTTCCAAGACTGCAAATCTTTATGGGTACAGAAAACCTTTTCTTTTCCCCCATAGTGACTGGTGAATTAGAATTGCCCACCTCAAGGTTAGCAGCCCAACATGTAACTTACCCACTAGGCTAAATATAAAGCTTAGGAGCAACATGTTACACACCAGCGCTCTTCCCTCCCCACCTCTTTTCACTTTAAAGTTTCCTTTTATTTTAAAGTGTTCAAGTTGGAGTTTGAACCCACCAGCTGCTCCGAGGGAGAAAGCTGTGCCAGTCTGCTTCCCAAAAGATGTGCAGCGTCGGGACCACGTGCAGCGGTTCTACTGTGTCTTGTAAGGTCAAGAGTCATCGGAAGGAGACTAGATGGAGACAGTTTTGGTTTTCGTTTGGTGAATGAAAGGAATGGAACTCATAATTCAAGTGAAGGGTGGGGAGAACTGGACACCGAGAAGAAAGAAGAAACACCCTGCAGACACAAGTGCGTAAAGCAGAACGCTCCAGACCCCTCATCACCATCCCACCCAATGCCTTCATACAAATGGCTGCTGTCAAATGTTGAACAATATAGAAAGGTGATCATAAATTCTCATTTTCTTCATTTTTTGAATTCTGGCACTGGAGGACACATGTGATTCTGTCCAATCTATACTCTTTTCCAGCCTCCCCCCCTGCACTGTCTCATCAGCTTGGCTTGCATTTCTCAGTGAGCTTTGCATTACTTGTGATTACATTTTTACTGCTCAGGACAATTAATTCAGCTGGGATTGACCATGAGTTGGTTCAAGCTTGAGTCCACAGCCTCCCAGGCCGAGGTCCCCTTCGTAAATGCTTTCTTTGATTGGAGTCTGGGGTGAGGTGTCGGGGTCCAGCCCCAGTCTTGGGGGAAGACTGCCAGGTGATGAGGCTGGCTCCTGGTGATGTATGGCAAGTTCATCCTGGTTGACAATGCATTCCAAGTCTTCCTCTTTCAGATGTTCCTGGATTTGGAGGAGCAGGAGGGGGAGGGGCAGGAGGAGGAGAGAGAAAGATCACTTTAGATGAAGACAAAATGATACAGTTTTAGAGTGCAAGGAGACATGGGGCACATTTGCACCTAGGACAGAAACTACCTTTTTCAATCTGTGGCCAGAGGGAAGCATGTCATGAAGTAAGTATTAAAGATATGATATATAACACAACCCTAGACCCTGGTGATACAACAGCTAAGCACTCAGCTGTGACCAACATGGTTCAAACGCACTTAGCTCTATGGGAGAAAGACTTGCTAATTTGCTTCTTAAAGATTATAACCTAGGAAATCTTTTTTTT